CGCTTGTCTCTTGCTCAAATGTCAGTCTGTCTCCGGCAGCCCATAGAGAGAGCTCTCAGATTCAAATTCAAAAGGTTTAGTCCCGGCGACCACACTCCGTCATTACAGGTACCCCGACATGTGACAGCCTTTATGCACCAGCCATTTTTCAATCACCTATTGTTACCCAACGCTTTACCGGGTAAATCACCTGTCAAGGTCCTCTTCACATAGGAGGACATTTTGGGGCTTTAAAGGCTCCGACCTTCACTTGACAAGGTTTTGTGAAGTTAAATGTGTTACTACAAGCAATGGGTGACATTAAAATAACAGCATGTAGCGATGACATGGAAACACGCTGGCAGGAGAACAATCACGTATTCTGACAGACTGACAAAAGATAGGCAGGCATCTTCTGGTCAGACATAGAAACGAGCAGACATTGTAGCCCTGGCGAGGAGACAAAGTCACATTGTAATCCAGAGCAGAGGGGCGGTTTCTATAGCAACAGTAGGCATCTAACCTACGCGCCGCTGCTTTTGTTGGAATCTGAAATTGGCGAGAGAAGGCTGGTATTGAGGATAGAGAGATTGGGAAAGATGAAGATAAGAAGAGGCAGGTTGGAGGAGGATGAGGAAGAGGAGAGAGGAAGCCGATCGAGATAAGGGTGAGGAGAGGGAAGGAGATGAGCGGAGGAAGATTGATGTAAGGGAGGGGCTGGAGATCATCGCCTGACCTCAGTATTTGTCTCCCGTTTGGAATTTGTTGGTCCACTCAGCATGATAGATTTAATTTACTGATAGCACTTTGTGTCAGGGGGAATTTCTCAGACTTTGTTATGGCGCATTTCCACTACAGCGCGGTTTAAGCCTGCCGTGTCGTGCCGTGCCCGTTTTTGGTTGCGTTTCCACTAGGCGTAGTTCCGGCTAGCGGGTACTTTTTCACAGTTTTCTGGCTCTCCAAAATCGAGGTACTTTCCGGGCCAACAACCGGGCCGAGTATGCTAAACTAGTGAGAGAATCTACTACAACAAAATGAACATATTTGACTGTGATTTAATTGTAATACACGTTTCCAAATGATGCCGAAGTAACAACATACTGATACCGGTTAGTAAAAACCATGAAATAATGCTTTGACAAGTCTGCAGACAGACGGCAGGCGAAAAACCTTTTAAAATGTGTGTTTTCTGAATGGAGATCGGCTAGGCTAACGTTGTATATGCTCCGACCGTCCACACTCACAACAACGGCCTATACAGACATAAATAAACCAGCGACTGTATTCACCATGACACAGGCAGTCTGTGGTTTGTACTTGTTTAACTTTTGTCTAGTTTCTGAACAGATATGAGGAGCTGTGAGCTCTGAGTGCTAACAGCTAACGGCTGATGTTGATTTTGTATTTCGCATTGAAGATGACGTCACGGCTCAGCCTACACTGCGTTACTATAGTTACTACCCCAGTTCCTAAACTGTAATGGAAACGCAGCATAAAGTGAGCCTGGCCTACCAAGGCCTAACTATACCGTACTAAGCCGTGCCAGGCCCTGCAGTTGAAATGCGCCATTAGTGTCTTCGTGTGACTGCTTTTTGTAAGCCGTAAACTGGCCTTTTACACACATGATTATTTTCACTACTGTAAAGATTCTTTATTTATTATCGTTAACTCATTTGGCTAGTTGACGTTTTGTTTTGGGCGGTTTGGAATCCAAATATATTCATACGATATAACAGAGAAAAGCAGGAAATCTCTCGAAATTATGATTATCAGAGAATTGAATGCTATGATGTTATATTTAACATAACATAATAATATTCTGTAAGCCTTACATGTCAAGAGACAGTAAATCTCAGTCACAAGGTGCCATGTGACCACACAGTGGGTGATCAGTGATCTGGTCATGGGTTTATTGTACTCTGATAGGGTCATGGGTCAGTTATCTCATGACTAAGCATGTATTCATTGTAACTGTATAAAAGATCTCTCTTCAGTTTGAGTAGTTGCACTAGGCTGTGGAGACATTGCTCTTCAGGCTGTGTGCCTCTTTTGCAAAAAAAGACTCAGAAGGTCAACTCTTTGACTAGTTTATTTCAATAATTTCCACCACAATGAGAGGCGTTATACAGCCATTTTTGCATTAAAAATACTTTAACAATTAATCAATGATCACATTAGTTGCTCTCCCTACTTGCTCTATATGAGTGTCTAAGCATGGGATTATTTATTATTTACAGTATGTGTATGTTCACAAGCAGCGTGCAGTTTGGAGAGATGAGGTTAGAATAGCTCCTGGCTCGGTGTGGTATCAGATGTGTGTTTAACCAGGACCCTGGCCCATAGAGAGCCGTGACCAGCTGCAGCAGATGGCCCCGCTCCCCGGGGGCTGCAGGGAGGGTCACAGCGGCCTAGGACTCATCCACATGCAGCTACATCTTCAGTGCATGCCTGTATGAAGGCAGCAGTGGTTGTTGTACGTAGTGGTACTGTAGGTGCTGTGATGAATTGCTATTCTTTTCCAGTAAATTCAATTTTCTTGCCCATCATATCCTGTCTGCTCTGAATATCAGATGAAATCTTGACTTTACAAAATCCATGAATTCCAACACCTGATTCTTCTTCAGCTTCTTATTCTGCTTACTACTAGGATATGTTATAAATCATTTAATACGTGTTTATATTGTTATTATAAATGTTCAATAAGGGAACTTATTATTAAAAGGAGTAATGTAAATAAAGATGTTTGTGATACCAATTTATTCACTAATGCTTCTAATACTAAGGTTTTACTGAATGGTGCATTTTGATTGTACATGGTGCAGATTTAGCACGAGTGAGGGATGTACAAGCTAACAGTGCAGTAAAGTAAACACAGCTGTGCAAACAGCCATGAAACAAATGAAAGACACGTGTTAAATAAAAGGAAAAACCAACATACACTATACTTGAGGGACAACAAGCGTCTGAGTCACATAATCGTCATGCTCAACATCCAGTGCCCCCTTGTGCCATCTGCATTCACTGTGTACATTTCTCTATCGATTGCAACACAAAGCAGTAATAAGCGATGGATACAAAATAACAAAAACAACGATTAAGTGTTAGCAAGGGAGCTACATTGTTGGTTCTCTCACCAAACTCGTTCTCTTCGGTAATGTTGTGTGTGTTTTTTTTGTGTATTAGTTCTTGTGAGTAAAGCTGCTGGAAGGTGTCCCTCGGGTGCGAGGAACCAAGCTTTTATTTACAGGAAGCAGCCCTGAATAATGAGTTGTGATGCCACAGTAGTGAGAGTAAACTCTTCAGATGTGAGGGACCAGTCTGAGCAGGACTGGGCTCCAGATCAATCCTGCTGGCAGACACAACAACACTGTTGCTCTGCCACTGTCTCGCTCGCTCTCCCTCTTCTCTCTCTGCAGAGGCACAGGCTATTTTTAGCCTTGGCATCTCTTTCCCACTGCACCCACCACCACCCATTTCTCTCCACTCAATTCATCCCTCCATATCCCCCCCGACTTCAGCCTCCATGCTCACCCTCCACCTTAATCCAATGTAGATCCCTCCGCTCAGCTCCTCTGCTTACGTTCCTCACTCCAGATCTGTGACGGAGCTGGGGAGTGCTGGTAAGTAGAGGAGATGTGTCAGGGGACAGATTCAGCTCCTCCTCCATCTTGTCCACGCTCATTCCCCAAAGACACAAGCTGCGTCCAGGCTGGTCTGCCCCCATGTTTGGTGTCAGTGAGAGTTTTTATCATACTGTTTCTTTGGTGAGTTGTTAGGGACTGAGCTGAGCTGAGTGGCTGACTGTGATTAGCACTGGAGGCCGGCCAAGGCCCCGCTCGTGGTGTGTAGAGAGGCTCTCACTGCAGGAAAGCAGCTGGGAGAAAGATGGAGGCTGACTGTGAAAGAAAAGTCCTTGTGTGCTTATGTATGTCCCTTTGTCTAATACCAGTAGGTGAGTAAGTTGTGTTTAAGACTCTCTCTACCTGTACTGTAGATCCCTCTTTCTCTGTGAGCCGTCCTCCCTCACCAGACCCTGACCACAGCTCCTCCACTGTGCTGCCCTTGAGAGCGCGTCCTCAGCCAGCCTCCTCATGATAATGAGGCCGGCCCCACGGATGCTGCTCGCTCCAAACAACCCCTGCCCTCCCTCACGCCTGCCTCTACAGGAGATAAGAAAGCAAGTAGAGGACGGCAGGGAGGCAGGCAGCCTGTGTTGGGGGTCTTTGCTGGGGGTAAAGGCCGGGAGTTTGGTGGTTAGAGGCTGAATCTGGGACTTAAGCCTGTGACTGGTTATATTCAGTTGGTAATTAAAACAAAAAACTGAGGAAAATTGCATACATTTACATTATTTTTCTGTTTCTTTCCTTTTGTGAGAGCTGTATTCCTGGAGTGAAAACACAGCCCGCTGAGCTCGATAAGACTCCCAGAGAGAGCAACGTTTTGAGTTTATTCTTCTCTCACTGCAAACTGAGCTCATACCACAGCTTAAGTTTTCCACAACACATGAAAATGTTCCTACAGTGATTTTCACTAAGTTTGAACATGTGCCACATACATTGCATCTAATAGATCCTTTTGATAGTGTACATTTTGTATTGTAAAAGCAAGAAAAGCAGAGGTAAACATTAACAATGGCCCCAATTCATTAAGTGACCAGCAGGCAAGGTCTTTGAACGAGCAGCACAATACCTCAGCCCTGAAACTGGCTCACTTAAATGGAACGCAGCCGTCATCAACAAAGGTACCTCCACCTGTGCTTTCCCTGCTTTGGCAAGTCAAAATGTTTGCTGGTCCATTAACAAAAGCATTGCCCAGATACATCTGCTCACCTTCTCATGACTCTCATTCCACATCACACTACTCTTCCTGTGTTCTGTGATGCTGATTATATTCTCATGCTGAACAGTGTGATTGAATATAAACATGACTCTCTAGCTTACCACCGCGATGAGTCGGGGCTGATATACACACTGCTATATCTTCTCTCATCATCTGTCTTTTCACTTTTCTTTTCTGCACAGGAGAGTGCCATTTCATACTACGATTCCAAAGCGGGTTCAGAAGATGTGAGTACAGTACGGACTGCTCCCCCATCCCTCGTCCTCCTGCCTAAACCCAAAGTATTACCCACTTCCCGCTAGGAATGTCACGAGAACCGATACTTTGTTTTCCAAGTCGATGGCAAAGTTTTAAAAACACAAGGGTATTGTTTTTCTACAATACCATAAGTACTGTAAGGGCTCAAGCGTAATGGCATCCTGATGTCCAAGAAACATTAGAAACTGTGTTTGTGACACAGTAAATTACTGAAGATACCTCCAGGGGACGTACCCTACGTTTTATAATGCTACTTTGTGAATAACAAAACATGTTGAAATTGGCAAGAACAAAGCTAGTTAATATTAACTGGACCAAGGATTTGTTGCAATAGAGTGCACAGAAGTTATACTCAGTAAAATGCTATTGGGCAAAGGTAAATTAGGTTATCATGATGTGTTCAAATGTAGTCTTGTACATTTAATTTTTTGTAGTGAGAAACTTGAATACATCCAGTTGGTTGACGGATATGTTTTCACAGTAAATTCATATAGACATCATAGAGGGAATTATGAACTTTCTATCAAAAAGCTGTAAGAAGGCGGTAATAAAAAAGTGTATGATAAAGTAAATGAAATATACTGTTTTGATTTGCACTGTGCTATTGACAATAGTGGAATTTCACTGGCATTTGTATCAACTATTACATTTCTGGTATTGTGACATCCCTACTCCCCACCCCTGCCACCCTGTCCTGCAACCCCAACCCACTCCTGCCCCGGCCTCCTCGGTGTTGATGCCCCCCCTCCGGTCACAGGCCCCTGGGATGTCTGTGTGTGTTAGTGAGGTGACACTGCTTTATGGTGAGTTGGTGTGACAGAGCAGGGGCAGGCCGACGTGCATGTGACAGTGACTTCAGCTGTCCTCCCCCAGTCCTCCTTCCAGAGTGTTCTCCCTCTCCACGGACCCTCACTGTGTCCGACTCTCTGCTAAGCTCAACTGGAGGGGTTGTTGGAACTCAGCACACCAAAACATGAGTCATATCGCACTTCCACACAAGAGGACACCATTTCTACCACGTGTGCCATTCATACTGAAGAATATAAATGATATTGGAGGAACTTCCTGCAGGCCAGGTAACGCAGTTTCCTCCAGAAAAGATCGGCAAGTGCTGTTTGGTCTCCCCATGCCACCAGTTCCTCCCCAGGATAGGTCACACCCGGAGCCCGTGGTCGCTGATTGATTGAGTTTCAAAGAGGAGTGCTAGAATGCCCCGCCCCCCCCACAAAAAGATGTGAAGAGAGTGAGATAGAGAGGGGAAGAGAATGAGGCGGAGGAGCAATAAATCATGGTGTGATTTTCTCTTTGTGCACGCCACTCCTGTGATTAATGACACAGCGCTTTAGGGCCTGTCAGCACATCTAATTGGAGAACATCAGTCATCATTAACATGGCACACTGAGGTCCTAGCCAGTGACACACCCCTGACCCCCACTTCACCAACCCCACAACCACCCAAAGACGGTGGCAGAGGTCAGTTAGAGGTCAGTCCTCATCCCTGCAACACCAACAGTCACCCACCAGTTATTCTATCTATATTCTTCCCACGATGACCCCTCTCAATGAAGGCTTTAATACCGGAGTGAACATTTACTATATGTAATAATGTAGTGCTGTACTATCAGGGAGATATGATCAGAATTCAGTTTTAAAAAGGTAAGTGATTGGCGGGCTCTCTTATTCCAGCCTTATCTCCTCTGTTCCCTGTCCTGTACTCTCTACCCTCATGTCTCCTCTTGTCACTGTAACCTTGATATTAAAGTGCAATGTGATGATTCGTTTTTTAAGACTGCTCTTGTGCCAAAGCTTGAATGAGAAGCCTTCTAATTTTGTTCTCTTTTTCCACTACCTGAATGCCTCCTTTGGGTTTCTCTGTGTTCATGGACTGTCCTGTTGTCTGCAAGCTGAACAATATTATGACTTTCAAGTCTTATTGGCCATCACTTAAAACACAGACAAAAGATCAGAACGAAAGATTCAGATTGAAAATGCAAACATTCTTTGGTCTGCATGATACCATTTTCACTGCAATACATTTATCTAAACATTAGAAACATATCCTAAATCCTTTCCTATTGCAGTAATTCACTTTGAAAACAGCATCACATTTATAAGGAGTCAGATTATTCTTGTTTAAATATGTTTCTGTTCAGTTATGGCGTTCAACATGTTAAAACAGCTATTTAACAACTGAAATGTTATTTTTCTGAAGGATTCCTTGTTTATTTAAAGGGCTGTTTTCCCTTTATCACACAGTCAGATAAACACACACCCGCACTCGCACACATAAGGCGCTTTCACACCAAGTACTTTGCCGTACTTAGTTCCCAGTACTTAGTTCATGAGAACTCTTTAGTTCTCATGAACTAAGTACAGATCGCGTTCACACCGGAATAAGTTCCCTGAGGGAGGATTAGGCAAATGAAGCCGCTGACGTCACTTCTTCTTCTTCTGCTTTGGGTTTACTGGCACGCCGCAAACAACTTCACGGCGTATACTACCACCCGGAGTCCCCGGCCGGAAGTCCCCGGCCGGAAGTCCCCGGAGTTGGGGACTGGCTTCAGTAGAAGCTGCTGGGACTCCCAGCAGCTTCTACTGAAGCCTTCCGAGTAAATCGCCAGAACACCGACACCTCCTCATCTCCACCGCTCCCATGTTTTATTTTATGTTGCCATAAGTTAGTCTCTCTCCGTTGGTGCGCTGGGCTAATGCTAATAATGCTAATGCCAGCAAATACAATGGCGGCTTCACAAAACTTTTCGGAGTTTTACGGGGTGTGGTTTGCAATCCGCCCAGCCAATCAGAAATGGGAACCTTTTTCTCCCATGAAAGTACCTGCTCTCTAGCAGGGACTGAAAAGGGGATGGAAAGGTTTTCATGAACTAAGTTCTAGTTCCGGATTTTTTTGGTGTGAACGCAAAATTTCAAGAACTATCGGAACTATACTGGGAAAAGTACTCCGGTGTGAAAGCGCCTATTGAGGGTCTTACGTGACGTTTCAGGTTAGCCCTGGTTGGCTGAAGGCGGGAATGAAAGGATCTTCAAAATGTCATCTCTGGCCTCTTCAGCCTTTAATTAAACCTTTAGAGGGGGGGGGATACAATTAACAAATTGGGTAATGAATCGAGCAAAACAGGTGGTGGATGGTTGAAGAAAATGAACCAATCAGTCTTTCCTGCGTGGATTTATTCAGCTCCTAATTAGACGCTGCCTTGGTTAATTATGATTGGGCTCTTTTGAAGACAGAAAAAAACCTCTCCCTGCCTGACATTGACAGAATTAGTGTCAGACTGAATTATAAACAAACACCTCAACCCCACAGTCATTGCTGTTTAAAAGCCAACATTTGATATCATTACAATTATTCTTAGAGTTGTCTGATTGTTATCATAGAGCTAAAAGTAGATTTAACCTGGTGACAGTCATAATTTTTTATCTTTTCTCTTGCTTAGAAAGCCTGTTTAGTTCTGCCTCGGGTCTTCCCTCTTTTTTCAAACGTGTACAAAACATCTGTATTGGATGGGAACAGGATAAAATAAAATTACCACTTATTTAGGACATTAAAGGGACATATTGAAGCCATATGACAGGTCCCAAATGTTTGGACTTTAAACCACATGCAAACAGTCTCTTTTCCACAGGGCATTAGAGTAAAACTAACTTAATAAATCATGTCTAACCTGCATTATAAACTGCAAAGACCGTTTCCAAAAGATATATCAGCTGATTATTTCCTCACAACCTCTCACTCATCCAGATGAGCAGTCTGGTGATAAACAGGAATTATGTGGGACATTATGACAAATACAACTACATAGAACATTTAGAAAAAGGCTACAGCTGTTGTAATTTTCGAAACTGCTTTTACTAAAAATGTAACTTTGACGAGGCTAAACCATGTGTAATGTTCAATCAACTGATTATTGGTATTTAAGTATTTAATTATCTGGTGTGTTCACAATTATCTGTCCTAACTTATTTCCATTTATTCATATCTCTCATGAGCTGTTCGGTCAAAACACTGTATTGTTCCTTATGTTGACTTTCAATGGGACTTCAGCACAACTATCCCCCTGCTCGTCCCAACAACAGCTTGTAATTACATTTTAATAGTCAATTAAAGTTGGCCCATCAATCAATTCTGCCCTCGACATGGTGTTTTGATTTCATATCTCCAAAAAACAAACAATTTTTATCATGTCAGATCTAATTAACCCAGGCTGCTTTATTCAAATGAAAGGTGCATATTGCAGTTGCAAATTTATTGCACTGATTTTTATTCAATGAAAATGTGCTCTTTACCTATCTGAATACATAAAGATGTCAGTATGTATTTCTAAGGCTGCATCTGACTTTTATATAGTATTATAAGTATGCACACTTAAATGTATACAAAGAATAATCAAATAAACTGAGTCAGAAAGTGGGGTTATGTCTTAATGCCTTTTATTTTTTGTCACATCCCACAATTGCTACCTCCTGTGGAAACAGACACAGATTTGACTCCATTGATAACTTATCAAGATAAAAAGCTTAAATGTCTGTTTTTGCCGGATTCCTTTGCTATCTGACTGTTTCCGTTTGCGATATGTGTGTCAGGCTTTCTGATCATGAACAATAGCTACAAACAGAAGCTGTAAAAGTGCTAAAATATCAGAAATATGCAGCATTAGCACTGTTGTTGTTCAAACCATCACAGAGAAGAGAGAGTCTGATTTTAATAGATGCTATGATTCAAATGGGTGGGAGACTAAACCGTCAGTAAGTGGTGTTGGCTGCGAGTTATTGTTGGGGTTAATTTGTATGGCACCTCATGTGTCTGAGATAGAAATCTGGGTTACTAATGAGTCTCTCCGTTTGGTGACTGCTCTGATACCTGCTGCTGTTCTCTGATGAGAGGCAGAGTATAGACCCACATAAATCTGCAAGCAGACAAAAGGCAGTATAATTGCTATTTTTATTCTTAACGTTATCCAAGGAATGTTTGACTGTGTGAGTCAGAAAGAGAGACAATATCCTCTATGTACCAAAGCCACAGATGGGCGCTGTAAAGCCCCGATATGGAAGGTGACAGAATGGGTTACTATATTTGTATGCTCACTTAGATTTGTGTGTGTGTGTGTGTGTTTCAGCAGACGGAGGACGGGGAAGAGGAGAACCCCCCGGAGAGCTCGACGTCCATGGAGCTGGAGTTTGTGGATGATCCCAATTTCAAATGCCAGGTCAACTTCACTTCAAGTGCGGTCCAGATTCCTACAGACATATACAAAGGCTGTGAGTAAACAACAATACTTTTTATGTGTTAAAGTTCTGGTGGAAAGGTGATTGTGGCACTGAATTGTAACACATTGATTGCATTAACTACTACAGTTAGATACATAGCTGTAGTTGAAGTGTGTAAACCTTCAACTGCACCTCTCCTTCTCCTGTGTCGGTAAGATTGATTCATTGAGAGATATATTAAATTAGATACAAATGATAATAATAAATCAAGACAAGGACTTGGAGATTATTTACTTTATTTCATTATATATAAGAAAATTCGAATGAGATATTTTTTTCTTATTTCACGCTTTATGTATAGATATATTTTCTATTTATCAGACAATACATTGCCTATATTGCCACATATGGTGACATGGTACTAAAACGTACAGAAGGATGGGGGCGAAGTCTATAGGGACTTGGCTTGGGAACCGGAAGGTCACCAGTTCAAGTCCCCGAAAGACCAAGTGCTACCGAGGTGTCCCTGAGCAAGGCACCGTTCCCTACACTGCTCCCCGTGCGCCGTACATAATGGCAGCCCACTGCTCCTAACACTAGGATGGGTCAAATGGGACTATTAAGGATATTTCAAATAAAAAAAGACGAGGTATAGATAATGTTTATACCTGTATGAGACATGTCTCTGCCTGGTACACAAACTGGGCTGTGGATGGATGACAGTTTTGACTTGACCTCTCCTCTCTCCGTATTTTAGTTCAACCTCACCCTGCCTTTATATCAGCCAGCACTTAAGCACAATACCATGATTTTAGATGACAGTCCCTCACACCAGATCTGTACTGTATTTTTTTCCTGCGTGGGCAGGGTCCACGAGCAGGACACCGCACTGCCCTGCGGACATAACACCCTCCTTAGTCTGCAGCCGCAAAGTGGACAAAAGAGAACAAATGTACCTTTGGGGACTCTGATTTCGCTTGGCATGTTCCCTCTGTTATCAACCTCTAACCCTTTGGACAGTGGCTGCCTGTCTCTTTAAAGACTCAAAAAGCAGAGCATGTGCGGAAAGACAGCCATTTTCACAGAGGCATTTTTTCTTTCTGTTATTATCTAGCTCTTCACCCTCTTTGTTGAACAGGCAGTGTATGGCACCTGTCTGTGACAATGCCCTCCAGCTGTGTCTCCAGACAAATCTTGTCAGAATTAGACACTCTATGTTCAGGGGAAGATGTCAGAGGCCACTGGTAACTCACAATAGAGCAATCAGGCCTGCACATTGTTCCCGGAGCCATTTTGTGCCAGCCCTGGTTCCCCTGTCTGAAGATATGAGTCAGAGAATAAAGGCCTGTTGATTGAGCCCGGTGGAGACTCGAAGAGTAGAGTGGTACAGTGCATGAAATTAGCTTTTGCACTTCTCTTTTGTGGACAATGTTTACTATTGATGTTGTTTAGTTAGCTCCCATTGCGCGGTCTGCTTTGCTGAGATTGCCAACAGCAGATTTTGTGCCAACTCCATTATGTACATGTGTGCGCCGTTTTAGTCGTTGCCGATAAATAAACAAAAAACATGTTGCTGTTCAATTGGACAGTAACTTTTAAAGACTCTTAGCGACCAAATCACAATATCTCTTTGCTAAAGGACAAGGAAAGGTCATTCAATAAAAGCTCCATATACTGTGAATAAAGTTGTTTGTGGCTCCAGAGGGAGTATGTGTCTGTTAAATACATCATACTTTGGTTAAGAACTACAAGTTTGAAAATGTAAATAATTTACAATATAGTGAACTCACCAGACCCTTTAGCTTCTCATCTCAGCTTGAAACTAGCGGGTTGAGTCTAAATCATCCCCTCTAGCATAACCCACGTGAATCTCGGACAAAATATCTCTGGTTCTTCTACATAGACTTCTATCCTTGTTATAGATAGAATTTGTAACCATCCCATCATGACTTTGCCTACCTTATAGAAGGGCAAACCTGTTGGTGGAGTCCTCTTTTATCCAACTTAGCTTATAGACACATACATCACGTTGTTCATGTCACAGTGATTATTATCTGTATGATGTTTTGTCCCTCTGGTGTCAGCCTGGAGGGGGCCTTGGAGAGGATGTCTGAGGAAGCTAATGTGGGCGGATGGTTTTCCTCTGGGTGTGGAGAGGTCTGGATCTCCAGTCTATCCGTGGGTTTGGGATTAGCAGTAGAGAAGCATTGTGAGTGGGAAGCTTCAGCACTCAATCCTCAGGGGGAGGCCAGAGGAAAGGCAGAGAAAAGGAAAGTGTGGGAACAATGGAGCACAGTCCAAAGTACAGCATAATGTTCAATAGTTGTTGTGAAATTCTCAAGTGTGGTTTATTAGCACTGACTTGTTCTTCTTGTTAGCTGACTTTGATTCGTACACATGTTTGACGCACTGAATAAATTGAATGTTTTCCAGAAAATGGCAAGGCGAATCGTCACAGAAAGATGGGTGTCCTTGGGGATGGACTAAGAGGGAATACAGATAGAAAAAGGGCTATGAGGACAGACACTTTAATAATAGAAACCATTTAGAGCCACCAGTCTTTTTTTTTCATTGTGATCCTTTCTGCAGCTAAGTTAGGCGGTGGATGCGTCCTGGTTTGATTTGTCTGCTAGGCCTCATGTCCGTTTATTGAGATTGAGAGTGTTCCCTGAGCGCAGTAATGAACCATTTTATGATTCATTATCCCACCGCTGATTCCTGCTGCCAAGTCTGCAAACTTTCTAATTAGCTTAGGTCAAACATTCATACAGTTTTCCTCTAATTATCGTTGCTTATTACAGGATGGACATTGCAACATAGCCACAGAGGAATAAATTGATGTGGTTGGTGTCGTCTTTGGAGAAACAGGTTTTATTTTCCCATCAAATTTTGCAGAAATGGTGAGGAAGACTCAGGGATTTGCTGAATAATTGCCAAGGAATGGCTCTGGGAATATAGTGTTTGTAATAATCAGCATTGAGGGAATATACAAAATACTCTTGGCGACTATTTTGTACTTTCAGTCGAATCTCGCTGGTAATTGGACCTCGTTCATGTGGCAGATAGAGGATACTAATCCAGATTGAGTCATTCCACAGTTGCATGTCCATTATAACATGTTGAAAATATGGAATTAAACCAGCATTATTTTAAAAGGTAGCAATTATGTGCGTACTGTAGACTCGGTGTGTGAATACGCTACTTTTTGTGTGCGAATAAGCGGCCACTGTTCCCAGCAGGGAAGAAAGAAAAGCACCAGTGAATGTGGGAAGCCCTTTCATTGAATTTGAAGTTTAAATCAGCTGCATGCACCGCCTTTTCTGACGGCCTAACGTCATGTTGTCAGTTTGCTATTGTAGCCATGCACAGTGAGGAACTTGCTTATCAGAAATGAATGGCGAGGACTGGCTAACTGTGTGTGCAGATGAAAGAGCAGAGCTTAAATGTTTTGCATGGAGCGATTACCCAACCACACACACACACACACACGCACACGCACACGCACACGCACACACACTAACCATGATTACCACCATTCCCTGTGCCTGACTGTTTGATTGCTCTTTTCTTACATTTCGGACCATATCGGGGGTATATGTTGTAAGTTATGTACGACCAAACTTTACATATTGACAACATGTTTTAAAGTATCCCTTAATTATTTGAATTGATTTGCTACCATGAATTTAGTTATTGTTTTCCTTCACTTTTTCTTGTTTGTTAATTCATTGATTCTCCAAGACTTCCCATACTTTGAACCTGCTTTATAAATACATCAGTAGCTGCTATACTGTAGCAGCTACAGAAAAAAACGGTTAGCAGAATACTGACATATTATAAGCTTTTAAATTGATAAAGCATTTTTAGCAAGTACTTACTTATCCATCCAACAGATACTCAAAACATTAGCAGTCGTTGGGAGTTGTGTTTTGTTGTTTTAATAGATGTTAGTTCAATATGCAGTCAGTATTCAGTAGTGTTTGCTCTCAACGAACTTCTAAGGAAAATATCTTGCTTCATATCGTGCTTAACGCTGCACTGTGCATTTCAGTTAAATGCTTAGTTTGTCTTTCTTCCATTCACAGACTAAAATCACGGAGAAAAGTCAGCAGTAATAATTGAGCGATAATCTTAAACCTTCAATTATTTATGAGACTTTAATTCAGAATCACAGCCTAGACCAGCAGCGCACTTGTTCACCCTGGCCCTTTGTATGTTAGCCTCCTTTCTGATTCTGCACTCTCTGGTCTCTGGTTGGATCCCCTGCGAGAAGCTCCTAGCAAAAGTCATCCAATTTACCTTTGTATAGAGCAGATTGCATGGGGCGTATGTAATGTGCAGTGGAAAATGTAGTGCAAAAGATACAGCAGTGTCAACACAGTGTCTTTTGGAGATTTGAAAAGAAGAGAAAGATTTGCATCTAGAGGGAATCATGTGAGTGAAACTATATCTGATGTCTCTCATCTTGTTTAACATGGATCTGGAGAGGGGACAAAGGAGACTTTTGGTAGAAAGCCCAAGGTCTGTTCACAAAAGGAAGGGAGAATGCAAATGATCCTTTATTCCTCAGTAAAATGCTATGCTATGGTTCCAACTAACGTATGTTTGCATTTTATTTTGTGCTATTGCCAAAGATGTTTAAATAACATGCTACATATGTCATCTTTAAGTCATAAGCAGCACATCTTGAGATTTGCCTAAGCTAAATGTAAAATGTCATCTCTGTGAGTGTGTGTGTTTGTGTATACACAGTACACGCAGCCCGTATTCTTTGCACACGCCCCAGGTTCCTTCCAGTGGAGGGAGCTTTCCTGTCAACCAACTCACGCCATGCTGGAGATCAACTCAGCCCGTCTCAACATCAAACCAGATTTAAATGTGTGGAAAAAAAGCAAAAGTGATTTGTAGGGGGGGGGGAAGAAAAAAGGAAATGATAGAGAGAGAGAGGGGATAAGGGAAATGGGATTTAACGTTAAACCAAAAGAGAAGAAAGACAGTGTAAACACTGCGGGCTGTATTTCTGACGTTCTTGACTTTACAGACTCCATCTT